GCTCACGCCCACTCGCGCGGAGGTGGAGGGGGAGGTGGAAGAGGGAGGAGGACCCCAGAGGACCCCCGAAGAAAGGACAGTCCGCCCCGCCGGTAAACCATCCATCGACTTGGATCCGGCGCCGCCAGGAGAGCCGTTCGCCGCCGCAGTTTCGTCTGCACACCCGCACCTGGAAACGACGACGACGACGATGACGGCACTACTCTCGGAGAAACGACAGTCCATCCCGTCGTTGCCCCAGCCGCTGTCCGTGACCCGCTGCCTCCAGAAGAACTGGTTGTCGCTCCTGTTTCGTCGTCCACTGCTGCCTCTCACTCCTGTCCGCGCCTTCGGGTCGGTGTCGCGACGGCGGCGTCCACCGCGACAGAAGGAGGGGGGAGGAGGGAGGAGCCCCTGGACGCCCTCTGCCCGCGTCAGGTCCGTCGGGGCCAGGCGCGGAGCACGGCGCAACATCTCACGCGCAAGCTGCCACATTCCGCGGCGCCCCTGATATGTGCGATGGTGGGGAGGAAGGGGAGGAAGAGGAAGGAGACCCTGCTGGCCCCCTGCCCACCTGGGTTACATCGGGGGCCCGCGTGGAACACGACGCCAACTCACACCTGCAAGATGCCGCAGTATGTGGCGAACCAGTGACGGGTGGGGGAGGAAGGGGGACTGACAGGTTTGCGCCTCCATGGAGGTCCTCTGCTGGCGTCGAGCCCGTCGGTGCCCGGCGCCGCGCACGGCCAGCTAACGACCGCCGCGGCCCACGGCCACCCTGGAGACGCCCCGCGCGAGGAGCACCCCAGCCCCAACCAGCCCCCCCCCCCACACACACCCCGCCTGGCATCGGGCCCGTCGGGCCTGGCGTCAACCACGTCGATCTACAAGTTGCTGCATTCCGTGGCGGGGGTATGGGGGCCCCCACACCAGTTCTACGCACCTCCCGCGCTCTTTCTCGCCCCTCAGGTCCCCCTTCAGTTCAGGTGGTTTCAACTGGCGGCTGCGACGACGACGACGACGACGACGACGACCACGACGACGACGACGACGACGACGACGACGACGACGACGACGACGACGACGACGACGACGACGACGACGACGACGACGACGTGGCCATGCAGGATGCTGGACCGGCCCCTGCACCCGTTTGCGGCGCCGCCCCGCCACCTGCACCGCCCCCCGACGCCGTGGCCGCGCACGCAACTAGGGGCCACGCCGCCGCAGGAGAGGGAGGGGCACCCTCCGCCCCCCCACCACCGCGGCCCTGGCTGGCCCCCCCGCGGGAGCAGCGATTCCTGCAGGCCCTCTCGAGGGCCCAGCTGTTGCCTGCACTGGGTGGGGACAAGACACAGCCCCAGGCGCAGGGGGAGACGGGCAGGCCAGGGACCCTGGGCCACGGATCGACACGAGCGGCACGTGGACCGAAGCACACGTCGCGCGAGGCCCTGCGACAATTGACGAGTCAAACCGTGCCCTGGGTTTCCCCTTGGGAGGCCCCACATGGGCCCGCCTTGCTCTGCAGGTCCCGATCCCGGCCCCAGGAGGCTCGCACCCTGACTCGATCTCTCCTTGCGCCCCCGAGCAGAGCAGCAATCGCGACGCCGTTCCCTCCGATCCCCCTCCCCCATGGCACGCGTCTGAGCTTCGTCGCCATGCTGCGGACCCGCTACGAAAAGCGCCAGTCCACTGGAGGTGCGCTGGCCCGCGCCCCTGGCACTGGCGCTCCTGGACCGTGGAAACGCGCTACTCCCGACAGGCCAAATCTGGGCGGAGCCGACACGGAGCCGCCGCCTCCGCCCCCCCCGCCACTGCGCGCCTCCGCGCCGTGCGGCTCGTTGCCTGGGTCGCGCGCTGTCTCTCGGGGCGGTGCGTGACCTTGTTTCTATTGACCTGCTGCAGCGATCAGGTGCGTTCCCCCGCCGCGCCTCGCTGCTGCCTCCCTCCTCACCCCGCCCCCTCGCGTTCCATCGCAGCGCGGCAGCTGGCGCCCCCCTGGCGCCCGCCAGTGCCCTCCCCCGCTCCGCGCCCTTCGCTTCCTGGACTGGCCCCACGCTCTCGCGGTGCAGTCCGCCCACGGGCCTGGCAACCTTGGTCGCCGCATTGGCCTTCGCTGCTACTGGCACTGCCGTCTCTGGCGGCCCGCGCCCCGGCCGCCTGCTGCCTCGCCTGAGGCGTTCGCAGCCGCGCCCCCCTGGCCCAGCTGCTGCCCCTCGCGCCGCCCTGGACACCCTGCCGAACCGCTGGCTTCGCAGTTGCACGAGTGCTCTTGACATCGCACGATTTAAGGAACAATGATCGACAGCGTTTTGCTTGCGGATGCCCCTGGGCGCCTGTAGTTTCGCACTGCTCCCCTTTGCCCTGCCACGCGCCTCCGGCCCTGGCCCGCCCAGCGCGCGCCCCCAGGTTCCTTGGTCGCCGCCGCTGGTGCCGCCCCGACCCGCTCACGGTGGAATTTTTCTGCCTCTGAACGCCCCCCCCTCCTCCCCTTCCGCCCGCGGCCCCTTCGTCCTCCTTCCGTTCTCGCACGCTGGACGATTAGCTTAATAGCGCCCCTGCCTCGCTCTTTCGCTGGCGCGGATTGCCCCGCCTTGCCGCCGAC